AATACTTTGTCAGGCACTTATTTGTTTTTTAATAAATATTCTGGGAAATGTGAGGATTTACCTTTGTTTTCCATCTAGGTAAGTGACTGGACAGTATCCTTGCATTTCAGCCTTTTTAGGGAATAAGGCCTTCACTTCTGCCATTGTCAGTTTCTTTGGTAGCATATCTCGTGGGGGAAGAGGATGAGGTGCCAATGGTGGCACGTACAACTCTGGTGCATTCAAGAATTTCTGTAGTAAGAGAAAGCAAACTTTTTGTATGATAAAAGAAACACTGCACCATACAAGAATTATACAAACTGCACAAGATGTGGCTGACTGCATTCTGGTTCTTAGGCCCTTTCTTGTTACCAGGGACGGATGAGAGTTTTGCGAGGCCCAGGGCACGGGGCCTATTGAAGTGCGGGGCACAGGGCAGCACAATTTCGCGTATGCACCATGGCCACAGCCGACAGGTAGTAGTGCATGCGTGGGGCCTATTGAAGTGCGAGGCCCGCGGCAGCCGCCCCGCTCGTCCTGCCCTATATCCGCTGCTGCTTGTTACTTCCCTCTCTTTCACAGGGCTGATGCAGCACCTGTTCCTAGTAAAGCCATCCTTACTCCCATCCCACCTTTGCTGAAGCCATTGAGGCCCTTACATTCAATTCCTCCTGCGAAGCCATTTTGTAATAGTGTCCTCGAAACTCTGCTGCAAACTGCAATGATGAGGTTACAGAGCAATCAACCAGTTCACTCTTTTCTGCGAGGCTGACAGGACAGTATTGTCCAAACTCTCCCAGCCGTGACTGCAGCTCTTGGGGTGTGATACATAAATCAGCAATACTGGCTGCTTTTCCTGTCAATAATAGAATAAAATGTTATTTTATAACATTTAAACATTTTTCACATGCAGTACAAAATGTCGCCATTTATGAAGATTATATCCAGTGTGGAAATGAAACATTTATACTCAGTGATAAGAATTATGAGCTGGCAATCTTTATAAATAATTTGATTATTAAAGTAACTAGACTGCAAATATTTTATTAATTTGTTTTGGTAACCTTTACTTTAGCAATTACTTAAGAAATACAATAGCTAATGTTGCAGGATCCTGCACATGATTAATTAATTAGACAACTTTCTTTGAAGTAGTTCTGCATCAGGAGTGTACAGTTTCATTCCTCTGATGTGAAGGGACATTTCAATTGTTATGTGAGCTATTGACAGAGATGAAAAGGAGTTTAAATTTGGATGTGATAAAAGCTCTCATTTATTTACCACAGTCCTACAAACTCACAGGTCTAGCTAACTCAGGATCATTCAAGATCTCCTGGAATAAAATGTCTTTTAAGAAAATAGAAAGTATATTTTAAAAGTCTGATGCTCAAATTATACAGGCAGTCCCCGGGTTATATGGATCCGACTTACATCGGATCCCTACTTACAAACGGGGTGAGGTAACCCTGCACTAGCTGCTCCCCCCCAGCAGACCAGGGAGACGCGAAGCTAGCGCCCCTCCTTCCTAGTTCGAACTCGTAGGGTAGTGTAGACATACCCTGAGGGAAGTGAGGTGTGGGAGAATAAAACTGAGCTCTGGAGAAATGTTTGGCTAGAGTTTCCCCTACAATATGTACCAGTTCCGACTTACATACAAATTCAACTTAAGAACAAACCTACAGTCCCTATCTTGTACATAACCCGGGGACTGCCTGTATATTAAAGAGTAACTAAATATCATTTGGTTTATGACTGAAGTTTAGAAGACTGAAGTTTAGGTGCAAATGTGAATGATGTAATAGAAGAAGCAAAAGGAAGCTGTAAAATAAGCCAGTTTATTTTTCACAAACATTCTAATTTAGCTTGTACCATCCTCAAGCACAGCTGTGGCCAAATTCAACTGTGGTATAAGACAGTGTTTCTAAACCAGTGGTAGGAGTACCCTTAGGGGTACTTGAGAGAAATCTGGGGGGTATGTCAACACAACTGAAATTTGGAGAAAACTGAATTTTTGTTTTAAGTTTTACAACACTTTATTATTTTTGTACTTTTTACAGCCAAAAATTTCATGGCCCTCATGGCTACGATTAAGTTGTTTAAACAAATGTGTTGCAATGGTAAGGCACTGTGGGGCTGCAGTCCCTGCATGGGGGTGGGGAGAGTGTTGGATAAGGGGGACCCTCAGGAGAGTGGGGCTGGGGACTGTGGTGAGTGGAGTGGGGGTGGGGAGGAAAGCCCCATCCCTGGGGGCTTGTGCTGTCCCACCATCACACAGCCCTGCTGCTGGGGGAGGAGTAGCCTCATAGGAAGTGGCTCCTGGGGTGTTTGGGGGGAGCAGGGGAGGGAAGCAAGGTGGCCACCTCCCAAGGGCTCAGGCACCCCCTCTCTCATTCTCTGTTTTGTGTGTTTCTTTGTCTCCTTCTGCAGGTGGTGAGGGCCATCAACTCCCTCCTACTGAGGAGGGTCATCTGTCTGGGAGACCTGGACGTGACTGTGGCTGGATTTGCTGCCCTGGGGTTCCCAAACTGTGGGGGAGCAATCGATGGGACACACATCCCCATCCATGCACCGGACCATCGAGCAGCCCACTACATAAATCGGAAGGCCTACTTTTCTGTTGTCCTGCAGGCCCTGCTTGATCATCGGGGACAATTTACCGACATTTTTGTCAGGTGGTCGGGCAGGGCACACAATGCCTGTGTGTTTAGGAACTCAAACCTGTACCATAAGCTGGAGGTGGGCACATTTTTTCCCTGCTGGGACCTTGCAGTTAGGGACGTGCACATGCCTCTGTGCATAGTGGGGGATGTGGCATACCCCCTCATGTAATGGCTCATGTAACCATGCACCGGTTACCTGGATCGCAGCAGGGATCTGTTTAATGCCCACCTGAACTGGGCCAGGATCCAGGTGGAGTGCGCCTTCGGCCACCTCAAAGCATATTTTCAGTGCCTCCTCACCCGCCTGGACGTAAGGGAGCACAACATCCCCAAGGTGGTGGCAGCATGTTGTGTCCTCCACAATATTGTGGAGCAGAAGGGGCTTGCTCTTGGGCTGGGGGGCAGACGTCGGCTGCGAGGGCCGAGCATTTGAACAGCACCTGACAGCTGCCATCCGCCAGGCCCATCAGTTGGGGGGCACATCTGGGAGGCCCTGAGGGAAAGATTCTCTCAAACACTCCACTAACTCTCCCCTAACTATCCCTTCCCCACCACAACCCTCCCTTTGCCCCTTCTCTGTCCTCCCAATAAACACAACTATTTGGTTTTGAAAAAAATACAGTCTGTATTAATTAAAGATTTAGAAAAGGTGGACATGGGGAGGGAGGCTCTGAACTGAGAGGGGGGATCAGAACTGGGAAGGGAGCTCTGCACTGGGAGGGGAGTGGCTCGATGTGCCACCTCGGCTATGGGAAACTCGTCGGGGTTGTGCGGGTCCGGGGACCACAAAGGGGTGGACAGGGGGGAGGGGGAGCAATGCAGCAGGGTCAGGATTGGCGGAGGGGTACAGGAGGAGGGGGAATGGGTATAGCGTGGGGGGCAGGAGGGTGGAAGCCAGGAGCAGCAGCATCAGGCGTGTGTTCCATCAGGTGGGACATGATGGCACACATGTTATCGCGCCGCTTCATCAGCTGGTCCCAGGCGTGCTCCTGCCACTCCAGGTCAGCGTGGACTTCGTGTGCCAGGGTCTGGAGGATGTCATGGAGGACACAGATGTGCTGCCACATCAGGTCCTTGTGCACCCTGGTGTGCCTTTGGGTCTTCCGGGCTCTAGAAGGTGGCTGCGGTGGTATGGCTTGGCCCTCTGTCCCGGCTGGTCCAGCTGTGGAGAACACACAAAGAGGGAGTGGCGGTCAGTCATTCCTGCAGACACTGTCCCTGAGGCGGTGCCTTCCTTTGTGAGCAGCAACCAGCAGTCCATGGACCAGAAGGAGGGGATGTCCTGGGTGCAAAGCCAGTGGGCCCTATCTCTTGGGCCCCTGACGTGCCCAGGGGACTGTGCTACCCGCTTCCCACCTATCCCTCCCCTGGCCTACGCACAGGCAGCCAAAGGAAGTGTCTGGCTACGGTGGGATTCCCTCACTGGTGGCCAAGGAGCCGGGAGCAGCTTAGCCCTCCCTGGGGTCCGACCCACAAAGCTGCAGGTCACAGTGCTGACTGCAGGAGCAGCTGCTGCCTTGTATTGCAGGCATGCCCATGTGCTGTGTGCGGCACTCCTTGGTCTGTGTGGGGTCATGCCTGTGCCCTTGTAGCTAGCCTGCTTCCAGTTGGGGCATCCTCCCACCGGGGCCAGATGTGTGTGGCCTCCCTTGAGTGTAGGAGCAGGATCCCAGGCACGCTCAGGGGCTGCCTGTTGCATCCATGTGCTACACAGCAATGCAGCACATGGTTGCATGTGCATCCCACGTGACACTCGCTCCCTGCCCACTGTGTGCCTGCCTCCCCCTCCCGGTGTGTGTGACAAAGTAAGACCACTCACCTGAAGATCCCTCCCAGGTGTCTGAGGAGGCCTGGGAGACGTCATAGTGCCTGTCTCCTCCTCCTCCAGTGCAGCTGGCTGTCCCTGGTCCTCCTGCTCCTCCTCTGGAGTGACCTCTGGCTGGATGATGATGGGGGTCTTGACCCCGGAGTCCACCAGGATGGATGGGGAAGACGTTTCCCCCCCTCCCAGGATTTAGTGCAGTTCCCTATGATAGGGGCAGGTGTGGGGTCCTGCCCCTGAATGGGAGCTGCGCTTGGTGGCCCGAACATATCCCTGGTGGAGCTCTTTTATTTTACTCCGGACCTGTTCCATGGTCTGGGGTGGGTGTCTGCGCTCCACCAGGGACATGGCCATCCGGCCATAAATGTCAGCATTCTGCCACTTGGCCCGGGGGCCCTGGAGCATCTCCTCCTCGCCCCACAACTCGAAGAGGGACTGGATGTCTGGACCAGACCAGGACAGGGCGTATCTCTTGGTCCCCCTGGGTGGGTCCTCAGACCCCTGGGGATGCTCCCGACGAGGGCTGGGGGAGCGCAGGGGGCTTGAGAGGCAAACATGGCTGACAATTGCTGTGGCAGGGAGAGCCGCGTGGACAGGGTGCTGCTCTCTGTCCTACTTCCTGCCACAAGGCTTGTCCAGGTGCCTGCGTCTTTAAGAGGGGCCAGGAGAAGGAACTGTAGAGTTGTGATTAGCTTCTATCGAGTGGCCACCAGAGCACCTGTGCTTTTTCCTGGAGGCCTCTTCTTCTGCAAAAAATCCCTCCTTCCCATCCACTTCACAAAAAGGCTTCAATGAGGATTACCAGTTGTGCAAAAAGCCCTCTGTTCTTTTGATTTACTTGTGAAAGAACACGCTTGCAGTGTGGACTTAATTCAAGTTAATAGCCAACTCTGTAGTCTAGACATATCCAAGGTGAGAGAAGTAGTCTCTTAAGACTGTTTACACAAATGTTTAGTTTTTGGTAAGGTGGGGATAAATCCTTACACCTTGTCTCCACAAAGGAAAAATGTATCTGAGGGCTTGTGTACACAGAAGATGCATCAGTTTAACCAAACTGGTTTGAAAACTTATTTACATGAACGGATGCAACTCTTTTTGTGGACATATTTCCCAGTTTAAAACGAGTAAGTCTATGTCTAGACTAGACCTCATTTTTTGAGAAGTACAGGATCTTTCAAAACGGGGCATTTCTGTCAAAAATGCCCCATCTAAACTGCCAGCTTTTTTTAAAAAAAGTCCCAATTAGAAAAAAAGCGGCAGCTGCCATTCTGCAAAAATTCAAATCCCGGCTTCATTTGCAATATCGACGTGCCTAATTTACATCTCTTTATCGAAAAAGGAATGTGGTCTAGACATGGCCTAACAGTGGTTTAATTTCCATTAGTAAATATAAAGGTGTAAACTAAACAGCTATACCCCAAGTTTAAATTGATTTTAGAACAGCCACACATTAAATTGCATTGGTTGAATGAGGGGCACATGGAATATGGGTTTACATCCTTGAACATCTTGGCTAATAGTCAGAGATAGACCATGAACTTATCTATTTCTTTTCTGTATCTTTTATACTTCACAACATCTACTGGCAATGAGTTCCACAGGTTGACTATGCAATGTTTAAAGAAATACATATTCTATTTATTTTAAACCTGCTGCCTATTAATTTCATGACTCCTATTTCTTGTGTTATGTGGAGAGATAAATAACACTTCCCTATACATTTTCTACATACCATTCATGATTTTTTATCTCTCAATCATTTCTCCTCCCTCCCTTATTCTCTTCTTTTCTAAACTGAACAGCCCCAGGCTTTTAAAACTCTCCTCATATGAAAGGTGTGGACATATATGATTTATATAGTGGCATTATAACATTTTCTGGTTCATTATCAATCCCGTTCCTAATATTCTATTTGCTTTTTTGACTGCTGCTGTGCAGCGAGCAGATATTTTCATAGAAATATCCATGATGATGCCAAGATCTCTTTTTTTGAGTGGAACTACTAATTAATATCCATCATTTTGATGTATAGTTGAGATTATTGTTTCCAATGTGGATTATTTTGCACTTATCAACATAGAATTTCAATAGCCATTTTGTTGCCGAGTTGTCTAGTTTTGTAAGATCCCTTTTTAACTCTTCACAGTCAGCTTAGGACTTAACTATTTTGAGTTATTTAATATCAACAGCAAACATTGCAACTTCCCCGTTTACCCTCCTTCACAGATAATTTATGGTGATACTAGACTGCATACGTCCTTATACATATTCTTGGGGGACCTCACTATTTAGATTTTCCCATTGTTATTCAATATGGATTAGGCAAGCAAGTTAACTAGTTCCTCTCTGGACTAGGGTTAGGAAAAGGTAGGTGGATGGACATTAAGACCCAGTGGTGCCCCAAATTTTCAGGTGCCCTTTGCAACTGCTTAATCTGCGTAGGAGTAAGGACAGTCTTGCTCAGGAACTTTTAGTGTGCATCAGGAAGTTTAACATGGAACAATTAATGCACCACTTGTTCGTAGGCTTTAGAAATCACACCCCTGTAGAGTGCATTACTTAACTGTGTAGACAAGCTCTCTGTCAACATAATGTAAAATGTTGTAGAAAGGGACTCATGTCTAAAACCAACAGTGTTAACCATGAGTGAACAACTAACATGTTCAGCCTCAATCTATGCAAGCTGTTTTGCATATTAGGTAACATTTATTAGTTTCTGACATGATGCATTTTTTCCAGCATAGTCAAGATAATTAGGTTTTTTTTATAAGTACTATTTTATTGTAAAACTTGTATTGCTACTAAGTAACTGAAATATGCTCTGAAATTTAACATCCAGCTTTAATGTTTTTGCCTGGGTATTACAGGCAGTCCCTGGGTTACGTACAAGATAGGGACTGTAGGTTTGTTCTTAAGTTGAATTTGTATGTAAGTCGGAACTGGTACATATTGTAGGGGAAACTCTAGCCAAACATTTCTCCAGAGCTCAGTTTTATTCTCCCACACCTCACTTCCCTCAGCCCTTTATTCTCAAGCTGAGGTGTCTGCTGAGAAAAGCCGCTCCACGTCTCCCTGGTCGGCTGGGAGGGGTGCTAGCTTTGCGTCTCCCTGGTCTGCTGGGGGGAAGCAGCTAGTGCGGGGTTGCCTCACCCCGTTTGTAAGTAGGGATCCGATGTAAGTCGGATCCATGTAACCCGGGGACTGCCTGTACTGCCATGGATAATTAGAGGCAAATTAAAACTGAATGTGATACAATGGGTTTATTAAATTACAATTTCTTAAAACAAAGCAGCATGTACTATTTGTAAACAGGTATTCTTCTTTTACCTTCTCTTATTCTTTCCAAATATATCTGGATCTGTTTAACGATCACCTGAACTTCCTCAAATATTTTGTTCCAGACCCACCACTTGCTGTGGAATGCATCAACCACACACCAGTTCTGATGTTTCTCTTCATAGTAAGTCCTAATAGCATCAATTTGCTTTCTATAGCAGGAGTTCTGAATAGCTAGAATCTGTGAGCTGTCATGTATTGGATAAGGAGGACTGAAGAAAATAAAAAATAGCAATGATTTAAGAAACTATATTAACATAATAAGAATAAAAACATACAAAATAGTTTTTGTTCCCTGATGATGACTATCTGATTGAATGTCAAAATGTATACATTAGAGCTCACTATTAATATTTTTAATTATGATTATTGAAAGTCTATAGTAGTGCTGAGGGAATACATCTCTGTAATCAAAAACAATATTGTCATGAATGCAGAAAAAACTGTCTTTCATTCTTACCATTACACAACTCTGAGGAACCAAGTAGATGTCCAGGAACCAACTAAAATTTAGAAAATTATGCTCTCTGTATTTCCTGATTTTAGACTGAATATTTTGAAGAGGACTTTAGGGGTACATCTATACTACAGAGGAAGTTTGAAGCTGCTGCTATCGATCTTCCTGGGTTCAAATTAGTGGTCTAGTTAAAACAGCTAATTTGAAGTGAGAGGGGCACTCTGGTCAATGCCAGTAACCCAGTTTTCACGAGAAGTAAGGGAATTCAAAGGAAGAGTGTTTTCCTTCGACTTCCTGTACTGTAGACAGTACAAAAAGCTGAATTAGGCTACTTTGACTTCAGCTACACAATGTAGCTGAGGTTGCATATCTTAATTTGACTTTTTCCTGTAGTGTCGACATACCCTTGGATATTTGTTAGTACATGTTTATGGACACATTTTAATAATGTGCCTAAAAATTCTTCAAATTCAGATTGTCATCATCAGGATCATGAACCTTTTAAAATGGGGAAAGCCATATGCTGAAAGGCACAATGCTACATCAAGTATCTGAACTGGAAATCTGTGATATTAAGGTACAAAAGAGTATAGTGAGCCATACTTGTTTGGAGATAAGGAGCAATAATCTTCTAATAAATTTAGGGAAAATGCAAGCTCTAAACTCCAAGTTATAAATATTTAATCCAATTAAAAATAAACTAACCTTAAATTGGGATGTTATGTAAAACTCTCAGAGCAATATGGATTAGAGCACAGTTGCAAGTATCCTAAGAAGTATCTAGTTTAAATACATAGAGTATCCTGGTTCTTAATTTAAACAGTGCCAAAAACCTATATTGGGGATGTTTTTAAAGCAATAAGATAAGGTTCTGAATATAATATTAACTTTTAGTAATTATTCAGATTGCACAATTGGTCAGCTTTAAGGCTATAAAATATAATTTGTTTGGAATTAAAAATGGGAGTTTTGAAAAACTCTTGCAAAAAAAGTTCTAGTTTCATTTTTTGTAATGGAAGTGAACAAGTAAATAGTGCAATCATTTGTTGCTGAATCAAATAAAAAAATATAAACATGCTAAAAACATTCTGGAATTATTTCCGGGAAACATTTCACCTAATACGGAAAAGATTTTTATTCAACTTAATGTTTAAACTGAGTGTTCTGTTTTTGTTTTTTGATCTTTGCAGTTATAAAATGTTATTTTAATAAAAAAAATCCCACCCAAACAGACACCTTTTGAGTTTGAATATTTACATCATCAGAAAAGCAAAGAAGTTAGGGGCAAGTTTTCACTGAAAGGTTTGCATAAATAATTTTTGCAGAGTACTTAGGAGAAATGAAACATTACTGCTGACCTTTAAACAGGCCCACAATTAAGAAAAGAGACAGAATATGTTAGAGTCAGCTAAGTATCAATTTTACTAACAATATTTCTTGTATGTACGAGTAATAAAATTCAGTAGCCGATACAATTTTTGGTAGCCACTTTTAGCAGCAGTCAGATATTATTTTGATGAGAAATGTATGAGTACTTAAATCAATACTTGAAAGAGATACAATTTACAAGGATAAAATCAACACTCTTTGTTAGCATTGCTACCTGTCAGAGCTTTCCTTGTCTATCAGTGCTCTTCTAAAAACCTCCTTTGCATCCACTTGTAACTCAAATATTTTCACTGGAATTATTCTCATTGCTTCTAAGATGTTTACTTGTTTTCTTGTTACAGGATACCCATCAATAACTACTCTGTATGCAAACAGAAAAACGAATACAGGTTAAAAAACCTGTCAGTTCCTAATTCACCATTAACACTAAACCGGAATTAGCAAGAACATATTTTTATTTACAAAAAAAGATACAAGGTCTGTGGTCTTGCACTTCCAAATCAGTGCATGAGAGATTTACTATTATTAATAACGATTAGCAGTGGTATTACAGTACTGTGAAGATCTCAATAAAAATATTGAGCGAGGGGCTGTACAAACCTCTAGGAAGTTTCAGCCTCAGAGTTTATAATAAAATTTAATACAAGAAGTGGTTGTTACAAAAATTTGAGGGAATGGAGGCAGTAGGCCAAGCAGAAAAGTGTAGGAACATATGGTTACAGAGCCTGGGATGTGCACAGCCTGGAGGCTGAGTCTCATTTAAAGCTGTAGTTTTAAATTATGAGATCTTATCTATTTATTTGTAGCTATCAACAATCCACACTGGTCTTCTACATAATTAGTAACTTGACTGGAGCAGGATTAGGTTCCAAAGAGATAACATCTAAATCAACATCAAGTACTTTAACTCAAGGCTTGCCTAATTCATACTGAAAAAGAAACATAATTGTCATATAGTAGGCATTGGTGGGACAATATACAAAGATACATCAAAACAGTTCAATACCTACACATCAAGGAAAGTTTATTCAGTGCTGATCTCAAAGCTCAAAATTGCATGTCAGAGATCAATTACATGTCCTGTCCTGTGAGAAAGCCCCTTCTTTGGGAGAGGAGCTGGAGAGATGAAGAAGTGGGGTCATTTCATTGGATTCCACAGGGGTTAGGGGACAGAAGATAGATTTCAGTTTTTGTTTGTTTCTAAAACATCAAAAGGGGAGCACTGAAGTGTCAATTTGCACTACTAAAGAGAAAAAAACTGGTGCAAGGGCAGAATAGGTATAGGCAAGTTCCAGAGACCAGTGTTAAGTCTGGGTTGCCACTAATATTTATAGTAATAGGTGTAGTCCACGGGGAATCTATGGCCCGCAAGCCAGATTCAGGCTCATCCCGCAGCTAGGCTCGGGGCAAGCCAGCACTTGTGCTCAATCTCTGTGGCAAATCTCTGAGAAATGGCACCTTTGTGTGGGGCTGGAGTGGGGAGAGAACCTTAAAGCCCTGTGAGTGTCTCTTTTTGCCTCCTCAGTTGTCTTCTCAGTGAGGATTTTTGTTTTTGTTTTATTTTTTTGTTTCTCACTTGTGTGTAGCCCTGTAGGCCCTGACTGTTTTTCTTGTGGCTCAGTGGCCCCCAACAGAAAATAGGCTCCCCATCTCTGTTTTAGTGAAACCATTTGTTTCATTATGTTTATGCAAATCAGTCCTTATGAAAAGAATGCTAACTTACCAAAAAGAAAAACAAAACAAAAAACAGACAAGCCTCTTACCCAGCGGTACTGCACACATGATCCATCAGAGCCACTTCTAGAGCCTGAACGGCCAGTTCATCAGGTGCAGCCAGTCCTTTATGAAGATGCCACTTTAACATAAGTGCCAGCTCACTCTCTGGCTGATCGTTTAACACGAGTCGTATAGCATCTCCCATAGACAAGCGCATTAACCCATAGACACTTGCAAACTTCTTAGCAACTGAAAAATAGTTTTGTTTTAACACTCAGTTTTCACCTAGACATCAATGTAATGCAATATTTTATTCACAAAATGTTGTTCATATTCATTAATATTATGAGTTTGATAACTTAGGATAAATGTAGTATGCTACTGGTACAGAGTCAAGATATAGGACTTCCCTAAAATGTATTGTAGGTCAAGCTTATGCATGTAAGTGTAATTTAAAATGCACTAATATCCAGATATTGATGCTGAACCCCCAAAAGTAACATCTGCATTGCTAAAGCAGACATTTCTTAGTATAAGTCTGGGATTGGAATAGCAGATACAGGATGTTGCCTCTCAAATCAAAGTGCATGAGCATTAGCAAACTACATGTTCGGAACTTGCAGAGTGTTTTTCCAGTCTACGTACAGCCCTAACTAACACCAATAGATCACCATTTATATGAGCATTACATTCATCCATAATATTAGAAAGGGTAAAGAATTTGGTAATTGCCATGTTGCTTTGCTGTACTATATTCTTGGTGTGACAGATGGATAATGTGTGAAAAAATGTTAATATAGATATAAGGCAAAGCTTAGCTGGTGGTTCATATTCTGCACCATTATGTAAGCGACTCTACTTTTGACTAAAAGTCTGCTTTGTTGGACACCAGTTTTTACTGGATTTTACAGTTAAAAAAGATGATAAAATGATTTTAGTTAAAGTAAATAAATACAAAATATCTAATTTTGCATACATTTAAAAACTTTGTTGTTACAAAATACACCAAACAAAACCAGAAATTATAAAATGATTTTGGTTACAGAAAATGGCAAATGGTATACAGATAGTTTTAGTACAACTTCATTTCTATCAGTTTGACAGTCAAGTTGCCCCAATCACCTACTAACATTTATTTTTTTTAAAAGGACTGACCTTATCAACTCTCAATTTAATTTAATACATTCTTTGCCTGGCTGTATAGGATTATATGAACAATAGATAAAAAGCTGTTATTTTGCCATCTCATACCTAACAGAAGTGAGAATGCTGTGGAAAACGCATGCTGTTTCTAAAGAATAACATAATTAATAAAATATAAATATTGAGGCAAAGGGTTTGTAAAATATTTAATATGCCTATAGGTTTTCAATGTGACTTATGAGCCTCAGGGTGCATCTACACAGCACTGTAGGTCGAAATAAGATATTCAAATTGCGTATCTTATTTTGATGTTATTTCAAAATAGCTTATTTCAAAATTTGGCACTGTCTACACAACACTAATTTTGAAATAAATCACTATTCCGAAATGTCCCTTACTCCTCATGGAATGAGATTTACAGGGATGTCAGAATAGCGAGCCCATTACATTTCAAAATAACTGGCGCGCTCAAGAGATGTGAAATAGCTATTTCGGGATACCTCCAGTATCCTGAAATAGTGCTTCAGTGTAGATGTAGCCTAAATGATATAAGTACTTTCCAAAATGGGACTTAGCTTTGGAAAATGTTATACAAAGTACCTGGATTCTGGATAGTTAAGGGGAAGCATTGCAAGGAGTTTCTTCTAGTCTACACCAGGCTAAAAATTAGTGTTTCAAGAGTGCTGTGGTTGGTAAGAGATGGGAGCAAACTCCAGGGGATCACAGTATATACAGAGAATCTTATACTTGTGGAGGTGATTCTTGTGGGGAGATTAAAAATTGAAAGTTAAATAAATGAGTATTAATTTATCTTGTACAGTGATAAGTTCTTTGAGATGTGTGGTCCCTTATTGGTATTTCACTTGACATGTGTGCGCACTCCACATTCCTGAGAAGATTTTTTGCTGGCAATGTCCCTTGGTCTGTACCTGTACCCTTTTCACTGTGCTCCCAACCAAGGATATAAGGGGTAGTACAGTCTGACTGCCTCTCTAGATACCTTTCTACCATGAATAGGATAAGGCTCTGCTGCAGAGGGGAAGGAGGGTGGGGAGTGGATTGGAACCACCCATCTCAAAGAAGTCCAGTTACAGTATAAAGTAAGTAACTTTCTCTTCTTCTTTGAGTGATGGTCCCTATGGTATTCCACTTGAAGTGACCCTCAAGCAATTTTCATTGAGGAGGAGAGTGCAAGGAACCCTGTTGTACCATAAACTGAAAGACTGCTCTGCTGAAAGATGCTGAACAGGCCTGAACCAAAGTGTAACGTTGTCTCACAAAGATATCGATGGAGCCCCACATTACTGCTGTGTTGCTCTGCAAATTTCTAGGAAAGGAACATCTCAAAATGAAGCTAACATCTGAGCCTGTGCTCTGTTTATATCAGCCCTTACACCTTGAAGAGGAAGGGTCACTATCAGCTCAAATCACAGCAAGATGCAGAATAATATCCTTTTTGAAGTCTCTGTGAGAAGATGCATTCAGCAAAGGAGACGGACAGTTTGGGAGATTTTCATTCTCTGTAGTAGAAGGCTAAAGCTCAATGGATATCCAGAGAGTGGAGGTTCCTGACTTCTGTAGTGACTTGGAGGTTTAGAGAGAAGACATGTATGTGGATGATGTGGTTCAGATGGAATGCTGCAAATATTTTAAGTAAACTTCATATGTAACTTCAAGGAAACCTTACTGTTATGGAAGACTGCATAAGGTGGTCAGCCATCAGGACCTCAGTTTACCTACACTTCTGGCTGAGGTGATAGCAACCAACATTGCAAACTTCACAAACAAATGAATGAATTAACTTGCAGCTAAGGGTTTGAAGTGAACAATATATTTATCAATCTGCAGAAGTCTGAGGTCCAATACTGAAGTAGGATTCAGCACTGGAGGGAAGATTTGTTTCCATCCAAGTACTACACCGTTATATGAAATGATGTGGGCTGAAATGTTTGATCTTGCCTTTATCCTGAGTCAATAAGACTGGGAACAGCTGCATATGGAGGCATGGATGTGAGAATATCTGGAGAATACTTGGAGAATCAGAACTGCCTGAGCCAGCAGAGATCTATCAGAACCACTGATGCTCCATTTTGTTTGATCTTTCTCAGGATTGGCTGATATTTGGTTGAAGTGACAATTATTATTTTTATATGAGAGGTGGGAACAGTGAACATGGCATTTCCCAGTGGAAAAAAGGGTGTTTTACACAGGCTATTTCTAGTTTATCTCCTATGCCCAGATATATAATGGGATCATTATCGTAGACGAGCATGACTGTCCTCCCACTGCATCTGTGATTTGAGACATAAGGATTATTATTATATGTACTACAGTGGCACCTACAGGCCCCAATTAACATCAGAACTCCTCATTCTAGGCACTATTAAAAACAGCACTTTCCTGAAGACCATACAATCTATACAGATGAGTAAATGGAAAGGGATGGGACATAAATGCAACACAGGGACTGAAGCACGGGCGATGAAGTGACTTTCCAGGGTCACTTAGCACAGGAAGTCTTCCAGCACTAGAACAGAACCTTTATTTCCCAAGTGCCAGTCCAGGGCCTCAACCACAAGAATATCCTTCCTTCCTGAGGAGTGGGACAGGAGTGAGTTGGGGAATACAGGTATTTCTGGCTGGTAAATAGGATAATGAGAAAATTAACTGCAGCATTCTATGCATAGCAACAGCAATAATTTCAGAAACTTATTTGTAATTTCATGCTAACATGATCATGGTAAACAAAACCCCAATTATAAGGAATGCTCCTGCCTTTTAAAAATACTGGACCTTACCTGTAGTTTTCCCAGATTTTGGAGGTCCCACAATTGCTATCTTAACTGGCACAAATGGTTTGGGTTTTGGTTGACAGATAAATTTGATGGGATTTTTCATAAATTTTTCTTTATTTTCTTTACTTGAAAAGAAATAAATATATTGTCGGTGGATTACAGGCAAGCTTGGAGTCTCTTGGTTTTGGAAAGGCTTGATTACATCTCCTTCACTTAGCTGTAACATATGCAAAATGGAAAAAAGTTACTTACTGATACTTCTGTTTACCATAATCTGTTCTTCACTCATCCTACAACAGTGGATTCATAGGTATACTGTTATGGAAATACTTACTGGAAGAAAGCAAAGATTTCTGAAACACTACTCTTGATTACATAAGCCTCAGATAGAACACCATCCCTGAGCTACAGGTCCTTCCAGGCTTGATGAGAAGCATGTGGTATTCAAGACAGAGAGAGAAATAACAATAACAAACAGTGGCATACCATCCAACGCTGACATCTTGCTGAGATACTGACACGAACCCCAGGATTGGATGTTGTGAATAAAGGGATCCCTGCTGGACGTGTGGTAGTAGGGTTGTTTGAGTTTGATTTTGAGGGATTCCAGGGCTTGGCCCTGACCCGCCTGGAGCCTCGTGACAAAGGCCATAACATAAAAAAACGGAGAAGAGTGCAGGCAGTCCAGAAAAGGTGCTTGCAAAGATCTCTGCTGTCTACTGGGAGAGAACAGCATAAAGAAAAATTGAAGGAATGCTGCAAGCAAGGAGCAGAGTAGGTGAGAGATTAACCTTCCATACAGGGCTGAGAAAATAATATTCTTTAATCAAGAAACTTCTGGGATTTCTGTGACTAAACAGAAAATGGAGGGAATTCTATTCCAAATATTAACTCTCTTTATAGTTGGAAAATTTTTCCTAACTTATTGAGAAAGCCTGCTCCTTATTCAAAGCTTGAAGGCAGATTGGACACACTGCATCCGCTAAATAAGCTGATGTTGTTCAGGTCTCCATTAGGGGTGCTTTTATTCATAAGTTTGGCCAAGTACAAATACACTGAAGGAAGCTAATCTGTGTGAGCCAATATTATATATTCCCAGAATTCTCTGTATTTAGGCTAAGCTATATAAATACAAACTGTACTCCAGGTATATCTTGTTTCTCTCCCCATGCACACAACATGTGAGTCAGTTATGCCTGTTCCCCTCTACCACAATAAATGTATTATCCAAAGTGAGCCTTGTCATCGGGATAAGGTTGAGAAATATGTATCAGCTTTTAATGTATACAGTGACCCACTAATCTTAAATTTAAAAACATTAGTGCAAAAAGACACCCACATAATTCAGATTGGCAACGACATGAACAAAATAGAATAGGTTCTAGATGATCTATTACATGATGGTGGTTTAGACATATTTATTTCAAACCACATGCCTAGATGCACAGGACAGTAGGGTTCTGCCATAATCCAATTTTGGTGCTCACATCCCTCCTTCTGGTTTGTCATTCTTATCCATTATTTTCCCCATAGTTTTGTTTTATCTTCAGATCCATAATTACTTAATTGTCAATTGATATATCTCATAATTCCAATCTATAAAAACTTTGGTTTCCTTAGTTGTACTCATAATCTATTTGATCCTAAACCATCTCTATTTTCTCCTCCATTACTGTCATCATCTTACACTTCATGTATCTTACAGCTTTGACAGCACATAACCTTGATTTCATTTTAAGACAGTTTTATACTTGCCTCTTTCTGCTAACAAAATGTTTTTTTCACGTGTCAGGTGTTAAACTATTCGATTCCTTACTTGCTCTTAGTTTTATCTTAGATAACTCTCTCAGAAATGTAAGAATCTTTTCTCTCTTGCAAAGTTATCACTCTTCCAACTGTCTTCTTACTCTTCCTTCTTCAGGAATTTCTTTGTTGTTATTTCCTGTTCATTGGGCTTTTCTTAGCTATCTCTGCTCCTCATTTTTGACTTATTCACCAAACCAAGATACATTTCTAGCATTGCAACAAAGAGACCTACACACTACCCACCTGTGCTTTATGTTAATTGCCCATAACTCCAAAACACTTTAACTTGTCTCTGCTGCTCCTGCAAGGCTGTAGGAACTTCGGGTATGTCTACACTAAAAAGTTAATTCGAACTAACAGATGTTAGTTCGAATTAACTTTGATAGGCGCTATACATACAAACTGCTAGTTCGAACTTAATTCGAACTAGCGGAGTGCTTAATTCGAACTAGGTAAACCTCATTCTACGAGGACTAACGCCTAGTTCGAATTAAGTAGTTCAAATTAAGGGCTGTGTAGCCACTTAATTCGAACTAGTGGGAGGCTAGCCCTCCCCAGCGTTCCCTGGTGGCCACTCTGGGCACCACCAGGGAAACTCTTCTGCCCCCCTCCCAGCCCCGGACCCCTTAAAGGGGCACGGGCTGGCTACGGTGCCCGTGCCAG